GGTGTAAAACAATTAATGGAGATATGATCCTGGAAGATTTAAAATGAAAAACAAAAAAAAAAACCCTCATTGTTTAAAAATTATACGGTGAATTAACGTTGAAAACCTAATTTACATCATATAAATTACAATCAATCACTCCAACAATGCTAAGAGCGGAATCGTTGAAGTTTCTTTCCATGTGGTCCTCGAAAATTCTGCTATTGTTGGATACTTTTTTCTTTCCACATATTGTTGATGTCTCATCATCAAGTTCGCTATTACATATTAAAATTGAAATATATTGAGCATGCAATGCACCTTAGGGTTTACACACCTCATGATGAATAATGGATCGGGTCATTGGTGGGTGCATAATTGTAATTTTCCATGTGAATAATCTACATATATACGTGTACGTGGGAAGTCCGAAACATCGAAGGAAAAGGTGGAAGTGGACGAAGCAAACAAGTAGGTGATGAGTCATACAGCTTTGGAGGGATCAGATGTCCTGGATCTAGAAGAAAGCATTAAGATAATTCTCCAGGTCACTCCAAAGAGCGAAGGAAGTTCCACGAAAATGCTAAAGAATATGCAAAACTTAACAAGACCGCGATTCGTCTCCACATAAGTACCTCAGCTTTCTGGTGTCATTCAAGATATTGATGCCTATCTTCTCAAGGAATAAGCGCCAAGAAAAAGGTTTATAAATGCATGGAACTTTGAGTAATCTTCAAGAATAAAGACTGGAAGAAGAGCAAGCTAGCCTCTTTGTTTAAATCCGACTTGGATTGTCTTTATTTTAGTGAAAATATGACTTTAGCCCTTCAAACTCAATTTTCTTCATATAAAACCCTACATAACCTTTTTACTCAAAGAAAACCCAATGACTAGGATCCACATAAGCAAATTCATTAACTTCATATTAATTCACACATTTTACATTTTTCACATGCCTATAATACCCCTATTACATACTTGATGTAGACAATTAATTGTAAGGAAATAGTAAATGATTTTGCAACAAGAAAAAAAAAGAAGACATTAATGTTAAAAATTTATTTCATATTACTTTTTTAGAAAGGTTTTGAATTTTCATAAAACTATTCGATTAAGTTTTTTCACCCTACTCTTGAATACTTTTGAATTTATCCTTCTTTTATTAATATATTAGAACATTGTATTTCATTATCTACATGCACATTAATTTACCTACGCACAATTATACCATGGTCTAAAATAATATCTCTTTTTTACAATGATGCAAAATAATGTTTATACCAACAACAAAACGTGCCTAACATATTTACTAATACATGGAAAATAATTTACCTATATTAAGAAGAAATGTAGTTCGATGCATAGTATTAAAAATACTATGTTACACCCATGTTTATACAACAATAAACCGTGCCTAACATTTCTAACAATACATGAAAAATAATTTACCTACAAGTTAGAGAAATGTTATTTGGTTGGGTGTAGTATAAATTGTTTTAATAATTAGAAAAATTAAATATAACTAGGTGTAGTGTAATTTTTTTATATAATTAGAACAAATTAATTTACCTACCTACTCTTTGAAATGTTCATTTCCAATGATGCAAAATGTTCATTACCTAACTACAAATTAATTTCCAATAATTTACCTACAACAATTATACGATGGGTGTAATGTAATATCTTTCTTTACAATGATACAAAATATTGTATGTACCAACAACAAAATTTGCCTAACATAAGTACTTGTACATGGAAAATAATTTACCTGTAACAAAAGAAATGCAGTTTGATGTATAAAATCAACAATATTATGTTCCACTCATGTTTATACAACAACAAAACGTGTCTAACACATATAAAAATACATAGAAAATAATTTACCTACAAGTTAGAGGAATGTTATTTGATTCAAAATATATAATATAGGTGTAGTATTTGTTTTTTAAAATAATTGGAACAAACTAATTTACCTACCAATTAATATGGATAAAATTGCTACAAAATATATCACAAAAAAAAAAAAAAAAAAAAACTACTTTTCTAGTTTGCAATATATACGGTTAATGCAAACACTTTTTTCATTTTATTTCACTTTTTCTACTACTTTTAATTTGGCATAAATTTAGGAATTTGGAAAAGGGACCATAAAGTATGAGCGGCATGAGTGTAAATAAGTTGTATTAATAGGTCAATAGTGTTCCTATATGTTTGCAAATTTTAAATTTGGACTTAAACTGGATTTTTAAAGATAGATGAGTTTTTATCTAGAAATAATGGATTGTAAGGGTCAAAATCTAAAGCACCCTTAATTTTATGAGCAAGAATGAATGAGTATAATAGCATTGTTATGTTATGGTGCGAATAAGTTAAATCGATTGGCATGTTTATACGTACATATAAAGGGCGGAGTCAAAAATTTCGTAAGGGTGGGCTATAATTTTCATGTTTTTACCGTATACCTATGGAATCAAAAAATATTTTTAAGTTCCACAAACACAATGCATAATTCAATATACAAAGACCAAAAATTAGATCATCGACGGAAGGAATAAAAACAAATCTTAAAAGTGAAGACAACTTAAAATATTAATTTGTTTTTAGGTTTCATTTGGTTTGCTTTCCCTTTATACATTTATGCTACATACCCACTCTTTTGCGTCCCACATTTGGCTTATGTATTTCTCTCTACCACTTACACAAAAAGTGAAAAACTAAAAAATAAAAAATAAAAAAGTAAATTAAATGGTTACCAAAAGAACTATTAAACTTTATGGTTTATAACTTTATAATAGAGATTATTTTCTTGTGAAACCATAGGCCATGAAGTCAGGATGTTCAAGGAAAAATTAAACGATGAGAAAAGGTCCATAACTAAGAGGGCACGTTTACGCACTTGGAATCAGATTGAACAATAATCGGATTATGAATGAATCAAAGTCAACGTGAAATGGAAAGATGGATTTCCATTAAAATGTATCAATAAACTCCAAGGAATCAGAATGATCGTGTGAAGGTAGTTTTAGTATTAAAAAGTTTATTCACATCCCCCTCCTAGCTCAAATCTCACCTCCTCTCTCAATGCAATCCTCAAAATTGGACCATCTAATGCGGGACTCGTGCATATTTTGGTTCCTCTAAAATTAGTAAACAGGAATGACATTCCGTGCATTTCCTTTCCCTATGAAATGGATTGAAAGAGATGTCTTCCAGTATTACAAGAGCTTTTAAGCCAATCTATCAATTCACTCAAATGATGAGGGCAGCACCCTTTTCCCCCTCAGAGCATCACCTAACTATTGACAAAAAAACATGTCCAACATAGGGCGTGACACATTTCATGTCTCAAATTCCCATGCATACATACCGCATAGAACACCACGATCGAGTTTCTTACTATTGTTTTCATCTTTGTAAGACTTTGCAGGAGATTGTGATCCAAATATCTGCACTGTTAGGCTTCCACCTACAGAGAAACAAGAGCAAACATGAAGAATGCATATCGAAAACAAACAAGTATACGTCAACCTACAAGATGCTTGGGGATGTGCTGAAGTGCGGGGGAAAGGATAAAGCTTTAGTCTGAAATTGGATAAAACTTTGCTGCTGACAGTATGCTAAATTCGAAGCATTGCGTTTATTGATGGTGTACTTGGTAGTTTACTAATACTAGGTAATGATAAATCAAAATTTGGAGATAGAGATTTTTTTCCCCTTCTTTAGCTGATGAAAATAAAGAGTACTTTACGTAGCACCAGAGCAGCCCCAACCCAACCCATAGCACTCTACCTTTCCCCAAGGAGAAACCATGCAAAAGCAGCACCCCAGACCGGCTACGAACTATAAATTAGCGTAGTGCTGTCGACAAATCCTTTTTTATCTTCTACACATACTTGTTAATTTTGTTCATTGATCTTTTTCAATTCATTTACTTTGACGGTTGAAAATTGAGAATTTATGTAAGAGATAAATATAAGTGCGTGAATAGCGGTACCCATAAATTATTGCTCTTTCGGTTGCTGATACATCATGCATTGCGGCCATCTGTAAACACTAGTTTTTAAAAAAAACTTAGGCTAAAAGATACGTTTCAAAAAAATAATATTTGAGAATCTATTTTATTTGGAAATCTTGGAGGCCACCGGACCCTGCTCCAACGCAGTACCATATTATTGACATGACAGCAACAACACAGACCAGAATGGAATCTTAGAACTGTCCAACAATGAAGATTAACAAGTAGCATTAATCAAGATGTAATTAACATGGACATAAGGACAACATATACTAACCTCATACCCAAGCAGAGCTAAGAAATTTTCACTTTTCGTGTTCTTGAAATATGCTCAGTTCTTAGCATATGGACAGCAAAAAACACAACACTTAAGAAGTTCCAACGGATTAATCTCCAACCCGAAAGGGCTTTGTTTGTTACAATTTGAGATTAAGAGCAAGTGAGAGAGACTGATCACCAAAATTATAACAAATGAATATGATTCTCTATCATAGAAGTTCCACTGGTGCATTGCAACTCCTATGATAGACACAAGAGCTCCTAATTGTTCAATGAACCTAATTAACTAACAGTAATACCATCAAGCAAGGGTTCTATAACTACCTGTTAAATTCAACATTGAATAAATATTATTTGGTTTGGTATTGAATTGAAATTGATTTTTTCCCGTTGAGCATGTAGGATCATTACTTGAAGCTCAAATTTAAAATTTGATTCAACCACACAAATTTAAAATTTGATTCAACCACACAAATTTATCAATGAACTCAAAGAGAAATATCAAAATGAGAATGAATGACAGTCGGTGATAGAGTTGAGTTTGAAACTTGTAGAGAGAAATATTACTAGACGAAGTATTAGCGATACTAGTTCAATAAATTTAAAAGGCTTTTGTTTTATGTCCCCAACTAATGTTTGACGAAAAGATTTGTACAATCCAGAACAAAACTGGTTCGGCCCAAAACAGAGCCGGTCCACTCCACCGGTCTTCCTGTTGGACACGTGATACCCCTATGCAAATTGGGGAAGAACGATGAGGTTCATCAAGTCATCCTCTTGGGAAATACTAACGACGACGACTTGACAAGGCAAATGCAGATACCATGGTCGCCGGAAGCCGCTCCATCACGACCATGGCGAAGCTTTGCTTCACTCTCCCGCTCAAACCATCTCTGCCATTCTCCTCCCTCGTCCAAATCCAAAACCCCGCCAACCCACGAGTTGGTTTGACCAAGCAAGCGTTGACCGCCCTCCTGCAATCATGCTCTGCGCACCCAAACCAACTCAAACAAATCCACGCTGTCGTCCTTACGACCGGCCTCTCGATCAAGAACAGCCTCATCACCGAACTCCTCACCAATTTCGCACTCTTAGGTGACATGTCGTATGCCCGCCAACTGTTCGACCAAATGCACAAGCCACGGGTTTTTCTCTGGAACACCCTTATCAGAGCGTATGTTAAAAACCGTATCTTTATGGAGGCTGCGTTAGTTTACAGGCAAATGCACGTCCTGGGTATTCGTCCTGACCAGTTTACTTACACATTTGTGGTGAAGGCATGCACCGAACAGCCCGAATTGTGGGCTGGATCGGCTGTTCTTGCCCATGTGGTGAAATATGGGTTGGAGTTTGTTGCCATGGTGAGGATTGAGTTGGTTGCAATGTATATGAAATTTGGGGAAGTGGGTGTGGCGGATTTTCTGTTTGAAACTATGGTTGAGAGAGATTTTATTGCTTGGAATGCTTTCATTGCGACTTGTGTGCAGAATGGACATGCCGGTAAGGCTCTTGCATTGTTCCGCCAGATGGAAGCGGCTAGGATTAAGCCTGATGCTGTTAGTGTTGTGGGTGCCTATTCGGCTTGCGGGCAATTGGGGTGTTTGGAGACCGGGGAAGAAATCTACGGGATCATGAAAAAATATGGGATCGGATGCAATATAATTGTCGCCAATGCGCGGCTTGATATGTATGTGAAATGTGGTAGCATAGGATTGGCTGAGACCTTGTTTAAGGATATGTCTCAGAGAAATGTTATATCCTGGAGCACTATGATAGTTGGATATGCCATAAATGGGGAGAGTGAAAAGGCGTTGGATATGTTTTCGAGGATGCGAAATGCAGGTGTGCAACCAAACCATGTCACCTATCTGGGAGTTTTATCTGCATGTAGCCATGCTGGGCTAGTGAATGAAGGCAAGGCTTACTTCAGTAACATGGTTCAATCTGGTGACAAGAGCATCCGACCAAAACTTGAGCACTATGCTTGTATGGTAGACCTTCTTGGACGGTCAGGACATCTTGAAGAGGCCCATAATTTTATAAGAACTATGCCAATTGAACCAGATTCTGGAGTATGGGGAGCTTTATTGGGTGCCTGTACAATCCACCAAAATGTTGAACTGGGCCAGCGGGCGGCTGATATGCTTTTCAAATTAGCTCCTGATATTGGTTCATATCATGTCTTGATGTCAAACATGTATGCGGCTGCTGGAAGGTGGGATTTCGTCGACAAGTTGAGGCTCAGAATGAGAAAACGAGGTGTCAAGAAAGTGGCTGCCTACAGCTCGGTTGAATGTAATGGAAACTTCCATATCTTCTATGGTGGAGACAGGTTGCACCCAGAGTCAGCAGAAATATATGAGAAGTTGAAGGACTTATTGAAACAAGTGAAGAGTATAGGTTACGTTCCAAATACCAGTTATGTGTTTCATGATGTGGACATAGAGGAAAAGGAAGCCACGGTAAGCACCCACAGTGAAAAGCTTGCCGTTGCATTTAGTCTCATAAATTTAAGGCCCGAAAGCCCCATTAGGGTGGTGAAGAATTTGAGAATGTGTGACGACTGCCATAGTTTTTGTAAGTTTGTCTCTAAAGCTACCAAAAGGGAGATTGTCATGAGAGATAAAATCCGTTTTCATCATTTTAGAAATGGAGATTGTTCGTGCAACAACTTTTGGTGATCACAAGAAACAGTGATGACTTAGAGGTGATAAAGGTATGGAGATGTATTTTGGTTGTTGGTTTCCTCTTAATTTTCAGGTGTGTGATTCGAGAAGAACAACTGATGAGCTCACAACGGATACTAACTATTGGCTACGTAAATAATACTTGCACCAGCTTTTGCACTTTGTACCGACATGTGAAAGGAAGGACAAAGTATCAACGCCAGCAGATATCTCATCTTTGGCAAATGCCAAAAAGTTGGATTTCCAGCATGAGCATCTGCACAGCACATTGGTTTGTAACGTTTCAGTTAAACTCATTTACAGCACCCAAGAATTTTGGCTCAGAATGTGAAACTTGTGTGCAATGTTATCCCCCAACATTCATAAGAAAACGTTACCAGCTGTTCTAGTTTTCTTCCTGATTCCTTAGCATGCCTAAGGGAAGCATTGAGAAATGGTTTCAGTCCCACAACTGATAGATTGCAGAAGCTAAACACGGTGGCGGGTGTTGCCTTGGCATTTAACATCTCTATCATGGTTATTCATCATATTCGGTTCACTGTGATACAATGCCAACTATTGTCCTTCTTGATCAAGTATGGTTGCACATTCATCTGACTTTGGCTTTCCAAACTCTAGGGAAAGGGGGCATCTACTAACTAAGATCCTTGCTACGGTTGGACATACGGCATCATGTAACGTTTCTAACTACTTGATTAATTTACTTTTTCTGTTTTCATTGAAATTATGTTCATTATATTATCGTGAAGGAAATCAAATTTGATTGATAAAAACTAGTCAAAGTTTTTATTTTTCTTGCTAGGTAGTGAAGAGAAATGTAACATGCTGTGCATCACAAATTGCGGTAACAGAAGTCCATAAAATAAGAGAGATTTCTAGCAAATGTAGCAAGGCCAAAAAGTGTAGCTTGAGCACTTTAAATGTACAATAAAAGATCAACAAAAATGCATATCTGCCAACATTAAAAGTTTTCATCTGCCAGAGAGCCTCCCTTTTTGGGGAATCTCTTACGAATGAAGACTTACATGCAATCTCAGAACGACTCTCTCTTTCTTTCTACTCGCTCTTGGGGTACCCCCAAGCCCCTTCTCAGTTTATGCCTTTTTCTTTTCTCATCCTCTACCAAGTCCCTTCTGATACTACACTATAAGCTCCTTAAAATTCCCGTTGGACATTTCAGGGATGTTTTAAAGAGATTTTTCAATATGCTCAGAACACGGTACAGTAGGCTATATGTTATTATGCAAGTGGAAGAAACTTTTTTTTCAAATATCTCTCCACTTATATAATAGGATTATTATACAAAATGGTCCTTGATATTTGCATGATCAATAGAAATGGCTCCTAAAATTGAAAATCAATAGAAATGATCCCTGAGATTGTCAACCATCCATGATTTTGGTCTTTCCGTTAAAAACTCTTTGGGCAATTTTCATAGCTTCGTAATTCAATCGGTTATTAACCAAATTCGACCCATAATATATCAAAATGAAGATAAGAAAGTGTAGAACAAGATTATATCTATTTGGAAGCCCAATGATTGTCAGAGATGGCCGGAAAATAACTTGAAAGGTGACTGGTCCGCTGGAAAACTCGTCGGAAACTTGGTAAACTTTAAACGTTCATAACTTCTTCAATACTCAACGAAATCGAGTGATTCAAAAACAAAAATCATACTTCTCGATGAGACGAAGAGAATGGTATCTTTCTTTACTGCTAACTTGGCGTGGTTTGGCCGGAAAACTGCTCGAAAATGGTTAGCCACTTTCCAGCCATTGTTCGACTAAACCACAGCGAGTTAGCCTTCAAAAAAGGTATCATTCTCTTTGTCTCGTCAAGAAGTATTATTTTTGTTTTTGAATCACTCGATTTGGTTGAGTATTGAAGAAGTTATGAACGTTTAAAGTTTACTCAGTTTTCGGCGAGTTTTCTAGTTTTCCCGCGGACCAATCACTTTTTAGGCTATTTTCCGGCCATCTCCATCAATCATTGGGCTTCCAAATAGGTATAATCTTATTCTACACTTTCCTATCTTCATTTTGATATATTATGGATCAAATTTTGTTAAGAAACGATTGAGTTTACAAAGTTTTGAAAATTGTTCAAAATCGTTTTTAACAAATAACCAAAATCAGGATGGTGGACAATCTCAAGGACCATTTCTATTGATTTTCAATCTCATGGACTATTTCTATTAATCATGCAAATCTCAAGGATCATTTTGTATAATAACCCTATATAATAACATATAGCGCATGTCCGTGTTCCGGACACATCTCTGGCTGTTTTGGTAGAAGGAACTCCGTTTTGGCAATTTTATGGCCCTGCTAGTTTTTTTTTAATTAATTTTTAACTTTTCCAGCATAAAAAATAAATAAATAAAGTACTTATATGACTTGATAAATTGTAAGGCCGGTTTCAAATGACTTGTAACGTTATCCTTACAGCACAGGCAAAAAAATCTTAAGAAAACTCAAAAATCGATATTTTCACAAAATCTATGAGTTATAACTCATGGTTTTTTCACAAAAACCGAGAGCTGTACTTATGATATTAAAGTACATAAATTATGAGTAGGAAAAATCTGCAGATGTTATCGTGTTGTTAAAACGAATATAATAATTTAAAATACAAGAGGAGAAGAACAAAACCAAACTGATGATATACAGTGAATGAAAACACTATCTAATTCTGGCATTTTTCTGGGATTCTCTGTAAAAACAAAGTATCCCGCTCTCTTTTGAAGCTGTCACAAAACCCAACTTGGACGTTCCTTATTACCGTTCTTCCAAGAAACATGGCTGTCGTTAAACGAAAGGAAATGCCAAATAACCCCCTCTATTCACTATTTGTTCAATCAGTAAGTACTATGACTCCCCCAAGGTCTTAATCTACTTGTTTGGTGGGTGCTGCTATTTGGGCTTTGAGTTTTGAGATTAACTTACATGACACAGTATATTGTTATGGTGATATCTTATGTCATTTGATAAAGAGAAATTTACGCTAATGAGAGTAATATTAACACGAAACATCACGACAGTACTATCTTGTATCGTGCAAATGCAAGACCTTCTCAGGTGTTTCTTACCACCACTTGTTTAAAATTACCGAGGATTGAAGAAGATCCATTTTGTAGGATATATCAATCCTTGAAACCAATTATCATTACCTATATCATCAAGCTGTAATGATGCTGAATGCGACCTACATTGATAACATATATGATGAATTATATATATATATATATATATATTCGCTTGCTAATTTTGTGATAAACTTGGCCTTCCGGCCAACTTGTCCGCCAGTATCTTTTGTATTTATTTTCATTTATCTCTACGCTAGTCCCACATAACTAAATGTATTGCCCTCTAGAAATGTCGGCTCACACAGACTATAAATATATATCTCTTCTCTCTACATCGTTGATCAAGTGATACATCACGTATCATTAAAATGTAGAGAGAACGGTGATAACAGATGATTCAATGAAGATGTTGATTGAAGGACCCAAAAATGAAAATAAAATGTCTTTGAAAAGACAAAAACAAAAGACCTAGCAAGCAATATAATGCAAAACCTTGGGGTGGGTGGAAGCAATAAACGGGTTTTATGGGAGTTGACATAGAGAGAGATGAGGTGGTTGCATTTCGATCAGAGCCTCTTTAACTCTCTCATCACACATTTATGAACGACTCCAAGCAAACATTCATTTCATGGGGAATGACCCACTTTAATTAACTCAGTAATTTCCACAAACAAATTATTAACCTAATTAATTGATACCAAAATGTGAGTATGAGACGGTGATTCAAAGTACAAAGAGTAAATGATGTTTAGAAAAACTTGGAAATAAACTTTTAGAAGAAAAAAAAAATGAAATATATAGAACTAACGAAAAACATGACTCAATATTAAACGCAGTAACATTTTAAAATTTATACAACCAACTCATTGAACGTGATAAAGGTATAATTGTTATTTTGTTTAGTAATAGGTGATGACCAGACCAGAATCTTTTGATTTTTGAACTCTAATTAATTAAGTAGTAAAAAACTACTTGATTCGGTTAGCTGAAATAAATACCTTTTTCTGTTCTCTGGCCAATTTTGGGTTCGCGGGCTCTTAGTTTTATATATATTTTTATAGGATTAACATATATTAATTCAGTTTCTACACAACTCAATTCCAAGGAAGTTTCCACGGCTTTGTTTAATTGTGGATCAAACCTTGAGAGCTTGAACTTTGTTTGTCCGCAGGTGACATTGAAAACACTGAGGGACAACTAATTTCTATTATGCAAAGCTTAATTTTTTTTTTAAATGCATAAAGTGCGGAGTTGGATTCTCTCCCTTTTTTTTCTCTGCTTTCAATTTTATCTTCTTCTTTCTCAGTCTACAAAAAATGTAAAACAAAATGATGATTATGTGGTTTAATCTTGAGCATTCAAATAAGTGGGAATCGGGGTAGGAAAAGAAAAATGAGATGGGAGAGAATCCAGATTCCTAAAGGACCACAAGTTGTGGCTGCCCTCAATTTTAATCTAACAAGAGCAACCCTACTAAAACAAGGCAAGAAGAGTTGTCCTAATACCCTAGAGTTGTCGTTTCTAGGATTTTGGGACAATCCTCACATAAACTAAGACAAACGTGAGGTTGGATGAACTAAAATACAGAGGATCTCATGTTTTTATGAAAATTACGTACTTTACAAATGATGGAAGTTACAATTATAAAAGTAACTTAACTTATTTTGCCCATGCACAATGTTTTTTAAACTTTCCAAAGATCTAAAACATTAACTTCGTATCTTAAAAAAATGACATGGTCCAAAATTCTCTTTGTAAGTTTCTTTCCAAGGAATGGGAGGGGCTTTTTGAAGTTTAAAAAGTGGGGGAGTACCCGATGAGTGCTACATGCAAGAAAACCTTTAGCACCATTAGTTCATGTTGGGAGAAATGCACCCTAAATCCTGAGGAAGCGTGTTGGCCCATAGGGACGGGCATCCTCCTTGAGAGCTAAAAAAAATGATGCATTTAAGTCAAATGCAGATCTAGGAACAATCAATCAAAAATAGTCCAACTCCCAGCCAATATTTATTTCAGAGGACTTACAACCACATGAGTCATTCCCTACTTGCCCACGTGGCTCATTATTAGACGTTCATGTTTTACCCGAATAGGTTGAATGCTAGATGTACCTTAGACCAGTGGTCATGATCATTTGCTTTGAATCAGCGCTGTGTGATTAGGTCTAATTGCACTGTTGGAGAAGAAGCACTGATTGCACGGTTGGATCTGCCTAACAATAAACTATACACACTCCAATTTATACTGTTTTTAGCCTTATTTCTCCCTATGTATACCAATTCATTTCCAATCTTTAAATTGAATACCTCAAAAAATAATTAATAGACAGATATACACAAAGATGGGAGATAATCAATTTCTTATTTAGTCTACAATTTAGATGTTCATGCGAAGTTTGGTAATATGTCACATGATGTATTGGACAGATGCAATAGTTTATCAAGGATTTAATAATTCTTGCATACAAAAACAAGAAACCCTAAATCCAACACTTCATAGACTTACATCCAAAGGCATTTACAGTCTAGCTAAGATTGATTCTGTAGCTATACATTCTGTGCTGCAACAATGTAAATGTGTAGGGTTATGGGGGAGCTCTGAACCATGACATGAACAAAATTAAAGTGGAGAAGAATATATAATGAGTCACTGCAATTTTATGAGTCACTGCAAAAAGAAAACAAGAGCATTAACTAGCCTTTCCAATTTTTTCCCTTCCTCTTACTAGTCTCTGCATTTGCTCCTCTGCCCGTAACCCTAATCGTCAAACCCTACTGGAAAAGGCTAGAGCCATGCTCTCATTCTTTCTACCTCAAAAACAACAAAAATAAAAGAAAAGAAAAACTAATGACATAAAGATGTTACAGTCATATTTCACTTGAAAATTCTAGCTAGCTAACTGTAGCTAAGCTAGCAGTAGTACGTACTGGAATACACAGGAGAAGCAGCAGCAGCGGCAGCAGAAGCGGCCGTGCAGTGACATAGTAAACCCTAATCACAACCACTGATATCGAAATCAGAACATTAATTGAATTCGATATTAGTTAGTTGTGAAGAGGGTTTGGACCTGTATGAACTATTCTCTTGTCATCTCCGTATAGCTTGCCCGGGTCACCGTTGATCGCCGGAAGACGATGAACATGGTGAGATGGACTACTCGAAGGTGCGTAAAACGATACCTTGCCCAAAACTCGTGCTTTCCTCTGCGGCGATGACCTCATTATCCGACCGGTCCACTCATTGTCGTGACTGGTACTAGTAGTAGGAGTACTGGCAAAAACCATCAAATTACTCGTTTGAGCAAATATTAAAACGACACAGAAGATGAAAATCGCAATGCTTCTAGCTTCTCTACGGCCATTTCTGCTTCCTTTTCTTGTTCCACCTTCTCCAGCAGCTCTCATTGCACCAACTAAAAATTTTGTATAAATGCCAAAGACTCACAAAGCTCATAAAACTAAAAATGTAGTGTGAGTAATAGTACTACTTCTGGGAAAAGTTGCTTTTTTTGGCAGTGATTATCAGTGAAGAGAAGAAAGAAACAAAAAAAAGCTTAAAACCTTTTGCTGCTTGTTGGATTTTCCTCGTCTTGTGGGTCTGAAGGCACATGAGCTTGACCCTTGATCCCTGGAACCTTCTTATATTTTTTTTATTTCATCACTTCTGAGAGACTTGGGAGTCTGCACCTTTTACTCACCCCACCACCACTCACCACTGCTTTGCTTTTGCTCTTCGGTATCTGTTTGGTTTTTTGTGTGCTTTGATGTTTTTTTATATATAATATACATATTTATAATGTTTCTCATATATGCTGCTGGCTTCGACTTGGAGACGGTGGGGACTGTCCAGTATTAATAGGCCGTTGTCCCCGGAACATTTTCAAATCTAATCTAGCAATGTGGAAAGGAAAAAAAATGAAGCCTTATACTAAACCAACTACCTCTTATGCTATGTTTACTAAATCGTAATCGGAACTTAAATAAAAAGTTAATCTCAATTACTGAATCATTCTTGTGTTTATAAATCATAGGGTGAATTGCTAATTTAGTCTTTGAATTATCACATCAGTGAAAGTTAGGTTTTTAAACTATTTTTTCAAAAAAATATGTCATTGAATTATAAAAATATGCCAATTACATCTATAATATTATATTCAAAGCTACTATATTCCAATTTTATGTCAATTTAAGTTACGTTACTTACATGTTATAAACATTGGAAGGTAGGTTGGTAGTTTTTCATAAAGAAATAGTGTATGTAGTTAACTTTGAAGGCTAAATTGGGAGTTTTTCATAAGAAATAGTGTAAGTTAACTTTGGAGGGTAATTTAGACTTTCTATTCGCAACCTATATGAAATGTTAAGGGCTTATAGGCGAGAAAAAGAATGGTATTACACTCTAACGTGTGTCAAGTGACTTAAGTTGACGAAAAATTGGATAAACTAGCTTTGAATATAACAATAGGGATGAAAGTAGCAATTTTTTATAAATCTAGAAACTTATTTTACTGAAAAAATAATTCCAAGAATCTAATTTTCACTGTGGTGATAATTCAACAATTAAATCAGCACTTCACCTGAACCATATTGAAAGTAAGAATGGAGCCTATTCAATATAATAAATTTAATTTAATTCTTGATTTTGGAGAAAATTCGACTTTTGGCCGGATAGGAAGTGGCATTCTAACTTCTAGATAAACAGCACATTAGAATTCATTTTTTATCCAGTTTATCCTCGCATTATTTCTAAACTTTCAAGCTTGCCCAAGAAAATAATTTTTTCCAGAACAAGAGCATCTTAGTAATTAAAATAGTTTTAAAATTGATTGAGAGAAATCAATAAACAACTTACATGGAATCCAATATTATTCTACTCCAATTAGAGGTATCTTCAGTAAACAACTTTAATGCAAGTCCCAATTTCGACTCCTACTCAATCCAATTCATAATTATTGACTTGAAACTAGTAAACATGTCATCAGTATAGTAGTACTTCTCTTCTTAACGTGCACGACAGTTTCAAGTTAAAATCGCACATTACAATCACTAAAAAAAATAGTAAAACTCAATCGTTGTACCGTCTTATGGTTTATCCATTGCTTGTGACACCAATAATTTTTTCTTTTTGGTATGTAGCTAGGGATGTACTATAATTTACCTGAATCTCTCTCTCTCTCTCTCTCTCTCTCTAATTTCATGGACTTTACTATTCTTTTACCATGCTTCAACTCTTTTGTCCTCACTAGCTAGGTAGGTACAATATGAAGATTTTGTTTTTGTATTGCACAGCTAATACAAAAACGCCTTGATCTTGATCTGATTGTTCATTGTTACTTACGTTACAGACACTTGATCATTTTGATTTTAATTTAATTAATTAACACTTACCCAAACTCCGATCGAGCCGATGCTTAGCGGGCCTACGGCCTGCAGTCTGAATATGGGCCGTCAAATGCATCCTGACGTTCCGTCTGAGGAGAAAGGCCCACTATTTGGACGTGGAGTTAAACTCTGGTCTCTGTATATATCTAAGATTTTTAATTTTCAATTTTCGACCAATAGAAGAAAGTTTTCAACTGAAAATTAAAAACATAATATTTGTTTGATAATTTTTTTTAGTTTTCTAATTGAATGAATTATCAAATAGATTATAGAAGAACAATATTACTATGTTTAGACGAGAGAAATAAATTTGAAATTTGAACAATGTTCAAAGTTTATAAATTAACATTCACTAATTATCTTGTCTGAATTATAAACATAAAAATCTAAATTTTTTGGGTGGAAAAAAAATCTTAAAATTTGAAACCTCTAATTTTCATGTTTAAATTATATATAAACATGTGTCATTCCATAAAGTTTTATGAGTGAGAATTTAAATATAATAAATTTTATATTTAAATTTCATTGTTATTAATTAATCAAATAAAAAAATTCACAAATTCTAAAAAAATAAAATTCGGCTGCTCTTAAATTTTTTTCGTCGAAACAGAGTATAAAATTTCATAAAATTATAAATTAACAAAAAAAATAAAATCCATTGGTGGAGAGAGAGACGAGAGAACAAAACGCTTGGTCACCGACTCACCCTTTGCTTTATCATTGCTTATGAAATTAGACTTTTGGTAAGATTTGGATGCGAATTGGGGAATATGCGCATCAGGAGGGGAGATTCCCAGCGTCATGCGCATCTTCTTCCCCTTTCTCCTTCCACCCAACTCAACTGAATTAACTCCCCTTCCTTTCCTCACCTCCACCAATCCCACCCAGGTTCTCTCTCTCTGTTTTGGTTGTACAATTTTCTGTGATTTTTCTGATGTGAATGTTGGTGTCTTGCTTGCTTTGTAATTATTGGGTTTCTTTTGGTTTTATTTGCTTTCTGGAGAAAATCAGGTAATGAGTTTTGGTCCGGGGTCGGGATTTTATCATGCACACAACCTGTTTGATAAAATGTCGCTTCGAAATCTCAGGTGCTTCTGGGCCGTCCGGTTATGTTGGTTTTACCATGACATGGGATCTTGCTCCGACCATCTGCATTTCGGGTGTTAAATAACTTAAATTATTCATGTGCGTTTTGATTCAAAATTGCACCTCTAACCACATTTGCTCAAACTAATTCCTGCTCCATTGAATTGATCCAATTGTCTTGCATGTAGCACTACAACACCTGAATTCTGGGCCGGCCGGTTATCTGGTCTTGTGGGTGATTTCGGGTTTTTAGTTCTTTAAGACCCTACGTAAGTTACATTGAGGTTTCTGCCTGGTTAGGTTTAACATCATTTCCTATGACCAGGCTCTTACTTTGATTGCTTAAAAGATGCAATGCAGCAGTACAACTTAGAAACATACACGGGTCCGGGATAGCTTTTAGTATACATGTTTAGATTAATTTCCAGGGTAAATTTGGCGATACACTTTAAAAAGATTCGAGCTTTTCTTTTGAATGCACGCTTTATTTGTAGCTTCAGTGGTTGCTCAACATTATGATTTGTTCTGCTCTTAATTTGTGGAAGTACTGCTGCTGTTTTGTAGTGGTGCACTTTTAAGCGGTATATTGGCTCGTAGCCAGCACGCTTCTTCCAACACTTGCCAGCAAGTGATTGCTGGCAATATGAGTCCCAAAAGTACATTGAACTCGAGCAGAGCCCTACAGGGATGCATGGGGTGCATGTGGTGTCCAGTTCTCGGTTTGAATCAGAAGAGACTACTCAAAATGACCTTTCTCACTCAACTTGTGGAACCTCACCTATTGGAGCAAATCAGCAGCTTTTTGTGCAGTGAGTGAGAAACTTAATTAATGAGACTTGTTTATCAACATATGCTATTAATATTTTGGACTATGCATAGTTCCCATCAACAGGACAAGACTAAGCAATGAGTAATATTTATTTAAGATAATTGTGATGAATTTCCGCAGTCTTGATGTCATGCTACATTCAAATACTTATTTAACTTTGTCTACTTGTTTTCAGGCGAGTGTGGCAGCAAAGACCGCCATGCTTGAAGCCCATCCAGGGCTGCTGCATTCAAGGTATTTTAGATATAAAAGCATTTTTTTAATCTTCATCTGGTTTGCAATCCAATTTGTTGCATGACAAACAAATATTTGCTTACATATTTTCCCATTTTATCAGGTGATCAGAGTGTTGCAGAAACACTCGTGAATGTGCTCACTTCACTTCCTTTTATAGTTCTTGGAATCCATGCCCCAAGGTAATACATTTTTGGAAGTCAGTGGATAGACATAAACATAATCTTGCTGATGCATCAGGTTTAATTAAATTTATCCTCCTTGGGGAAACAGGAAGAATCTAAATACCAAGCTATATGCTAATTCATTAATCGGAGTTGGAGTCGCCTCAAGTTTATATCATTCTTCAAGAGGAAAACTAAGGAAATATTTAAGATGGGCCGACTATACGATGATAGCCACAACAACAGTAGTAAGTCAGATAAAAGTCCCTAAATATAGTTGGCCGCACTCTTTATTATCAGCATCTGTGAGCTTTTTCTGGACGATGGCAAATTGCTTGAGTCAATATTAAACTCATCAAAATATTGTAATGGCAATACTTCCCGCAAACTTGAATGTATGGAATCATGTATCATATATAGAATTGTTAGAGCTTAAGAGGGAATTTCCACTTAGAAATCATTGCTCGATTCAAGCACTAAAAGTCTAAGATATAATGCTTCTCCACCTCCTGCTCTCTGAACATTTACCTGATTTTATTTATCTGAAGAAGTGCTAGGATTAATTTGTACATACTCAAAACTCATCTTTGGCATGTTTACATGGATTATGCCCTGCCAGTTGCCAATGTGTCATTTCTTGTACGAATTACTAGTTGTATCTGTATATTTTGTTTCTGTAAAGTTTCTCAGTTGCTCACTTTTAGGCATGTAATTGGAAATGGATCAACTCAAATTTTTGCAGTGTCTATCAAGAGCCCTCAGAAATGAAAACCCAAGGCTGCTGACGGTAGCTTCTGCATTATTTTTACCTTTCCAGCCTCTGATGGTTTCTGCCGTTCACACGGGATTAATGGAGGTAACTTTTAAGATTTAACCACCGTTCTTTATCAATTTTATGACTAGTGTCATCCTTGTTGGAAATGGTGCGTGATCAGCTAGTAATAGGTAAAATCATCCGACCATGATATTTATGATTTGAAAAATCTACGGTTTTAATGCATTTACAGAGTCTATTATATTCAACTCTGCGTTGTGGATGAAGCTTGACAAATCTGGAAACATGTTTTATGGAAGTAGGCTGTTAAATATCACGAAATTCAGACTTAAGCTTGCAACTTTCCGGTAATTGTTTGGAAAAGGACCATGTTAGTAATTAGTCATAGCCATAGGTAACCTGAAAAGTTTTATGTTAAGCTCCTCTCACTTTCTACTAAAACAGTTTCCCACTTTTCTCATCACCCGTTACTTCTTGTTTTCAGGTAGCATTCGCCAAGAGAGCATTGAAAGATCCAGAGCTAAGAAATGCCCACAATGTACATAAGATGTCATCACTATTGGGAGGTGTCTTGTTCATTGCCGATGACATGTTTCCTCAGACTCCGTTCCTTCATGCTGCATGGCACCTTGCTGCAGCCGTCGGTGTTGGCACCTGCAATAAGCTTCTGGAGTAGCCATCATTCAAACAGATAGAAGACCTGGCCAGCAGGCTAGATACAATTCTACAACCAAATTTGTCGATCCAACCTTATTATTTTGCAGAATGCCACCGGAATTATTATTTAGTTAATATCTAGGTAAAATCATAGGCGCAGGGACAAGGTACGAGGTACGAGGGTTGTCTGGGAAAGTCGGAACATTAACAAAAATTTTCCGATTGACATGTAAATAAGATAATAGCAGTATTATTGTTGCTGGTGGATATTCTGTGTAATTGAAAGATAGTGGCAACCAATTTCAGTACTAAAAGGGAGTATAAGATCACTCAATATTTTGTGTCATTTACTGAACAGTGACTTGAGCGTCAAAGTGTCTTTTACAGGTACCCTTCCTCCCCCTATGACGACAAGGGAATATGTGTGTCGTGCTTCTCAACATGTCTACAAGATTATTGTTGGAGTATTCGAATTTTTCCACTCCATATAAAAGCGTATAAAAGTGAAAATAAGTGTGCATAAATCATTTTTCTAAAGAAGAGAGGGGAAAAGCAAGAGAAGATTATAAATTACAATGATCAATGGCTCGGCTTTATTCATCCAAGGAAACAAATGTATCAGCGTTCATCGACCTTCTTGTCGACAACCCCTTGTAGATGTAGATGTTCTCGGGAACTTCGAATACCGAATACCTCGATCAGATGGCCTGCTTGAGATCTAGAGATCCAAGTTTTAGGTCAGAAGAGGATACGTACAGAGGCTCTGGCTCCACTTTTCTCCTGATCCTGCAGGTTAAACATAAAACCATGCACATTCTTCAGAAAAATTCAGTTCAGACTTCAGAGGTCGGAGACGCTCAAGAAAACGCGGAAAATTATTCCAAATCCAGAAGAGACATTTAAGTTACAATCCTAGACACCGCACGAGCCCTACGCCTAAGATGGTACTCGGGAGATTCACTCATTCGTCCCACTAGCAACCGGTAAAGCTCAGTAATTCTACAAAGAGAGATGTAATTACCAGTTATCTTGAGACCATCTGCAGCCATCGGTATCCACCACATGCAAGCTGTACGCGTGCCTGGATTTTGAGGACTGGTTTTCGAAACTGCAGTTGAAGCATTTGACAGGAAAACGGCAAAATTAAGCTCCTTAGAACCACCCGACTACGAATAAATATTTAAAGGATCAACAGAAAGAGTTTATTTGAACTCACCTTTGATGAATAAGATCACCGTGAATAACAACTAAAGACCCAGCTTTCACTTCGATGGGAACAAAATCCTTTTGATCATACTCAGGGGAAGGCCGATCAAAGGTCACACCGTCTTCACCTCTAATGAACCGTCTCACAAGCCCATCTGTTAAACAACATAAAGACCGATTACAAGGAAGAATTACTAAACAAAACAATTTCGAAGCCTTTCCAGCTCAGAAGCAGAAAATTAAAATAGGCAAAGATATTATTTAGGAAAAAATAGAGAGGTGGAGGAGAATGCTACTCTTTTGCGATCCAGGAATAGCCCATAGGCAGCCATTCGTTATTGTTGCATCTTCTAAAGCCAGCCACAGCCCTGTGCAAGTTGGTGGATCGGTATAAAGAAATGAGTTATCCTGATGTGGCACTACCTCACCTCCGATTCCTGGTTGCTGCCAACAATATTCTTGCAGATTAGTTTATGCATACTTGAAGAAAAACAACCAGTATAAACATATAACATAACCAATCTCTCGAACACATACTATGTTCCGAAACTATGTCAACTTAAAATCATGCGATCAAGGTTTAGAACCTTCAAATCATAATACTGCTAACTCACAACTCCGTGGACACAAGTGTTCCCATTGTAGACCTAGTCCCAACAAAATAACAAAAAACTTGTTCTAAGCGGGGTGAGTCAGGTATCTCGATGAAGACTTGCCCCTCTCTCCCTGATTATGTGTGTGCATAACTGTATAAAAACTTTTGAACACATATTTTTATATGCAAGTGTTTTCCTATAAGTGTAGAAATGTCGATCAAGTGTTCCCCATCTGCAACCACGAACACCAGTCTATATGTACAAGCCTCCATGCCAATTGTAAATTGTATCTAGTTATTCCAAATGCATTGTGTCTAATATGTTTAGGGTTCTTCCGACCTGGTAGCCTTATTGTTAGAAACCAATCCTTTCGTCCAAATGGACCTTAAGTCTTCATCAATATAAACCTTATAAAAGCTGCAGAACTAAGCGTTATACACGAGAGAAGATGTAATGTAATACCTTGAAAATGTACATAGACTGAATGAAAATGGGCCTTCTGTAACCCAAGGAGATGAACAAGCCTGAAACTTTCTCAGAAAAGGTGAACCCTTTAAATACTGGATCGAGCTCATGTAATGCTGCACCAACAGACCACACGCTTTACACTCTCAGTTCGAGTTAAAAACGCAGATAAAAAAAACTACAATCCATTTCTACAACTTTTATGATAAAGATAAAACTAAAGGGTTTGTGGAAGTGGTTCAGAGCTTACCATGGCCAACTTTGTTAATCGAGAGTTCCTTCGGCTGTCGCAGTTCCCCATCACTCCCAAAAGCTTTCTCTGCCAAAATTAACAAGTCCCAACATGTTAAGCTGTGCTAATTAAGTGTTCAATTTCACTATTGGAACAAATTCAAGCTACTTAAAATTCAAAGTTTTTTAACAAAGAAATGGAATAAAAACATACAAACAGGAATCCAAGTAGGGGCTCGTTTGGAAGTGTATTTAAAATGACATAAAGCGGTTTTAATGAAATTGATCATGGGTTCCAAAAGCATTTAAGTGTAATTTTGGAAAAAGTACCAGATATGTACTTCCTGCAGGAAGCAATTCAAGTGTTTTTCGAAAATCCAATTAAATTTTTACTAAGGATTGGTTTTGAAAACACTTTCAGTCATTTTAAAAACACTTCCAAACAAACTCTAAATGATTTAGAATACTGATTACTGAAACATAAATCATACCTTCGAAGAAAAACGAAATTTTGTCAACGCTATCATAGAAGTAATTGTCAGTAGACTTCTGCTGCAAGATATAATTAAAAGGGAAGATTTAATTACAGAGAAACATACACAACTAGCTAAAAATTATGATAAAAACATGATAAATTAATCAAAAAGAAAAAAGAAACAGAAACTTGGTTGGTGGTGGAGTAAATAGAGGCGGTGGAAGAGCAGTCAAAGTCCTGGAGCAATTGGTCCATTCGGTTCCTCATGGCCTCGATGTCCTCCGCGCTCGCAAACGATTCCATCACAAGATAACCTGCGTAACCATAAAAACAATTTAACAACAGACATGATTCAAGTCAAAAACATAAGACTAGTGTTTTCTTAGGATAATACGAGGTAAATAGGAGCTTAATTAAGGTTTGGTTTGGTTTGGTTACCTTGGGAGTGGAAGGTCTGGAGCTGGTCAGGACTGAGACTTCCGACGATTCCCATGGCGTCTGAGACAGAGAGGGGCAAGAAAACAGGTCGTCAAACGTTGGAAGTTTTTGGAGGCGTTTCGGAGGTGACCGTAATCTCCTCCGGTCCTCTGTGCTCTTTTATATACGTATATATATATATGAAAACGTGCAATCTTGGATTCCATATATTCACGCGGGAGTAAACTGCCGTTTAGTATCACCCCAGTTGAAACTGAGCCACTCCACTAATTTGTTTTTGATAAATTAACCTCATGAATAATATGAAATTAGCCATTAATCTCTTGCCGTCGGATTCAATGAAATTTCATTCATTTTCCCGTCAAATACTGACACATGACCAGCACGTAATTCATTCTTGAGGGTAAAGTCGTGCCAATATTTTACAGCAAAGTGGATGAAATTTCACCAAAACTGACAATGAGGGTTTAATTGGCTAATATCAAATAGTTTAGAGAGTTAATTTACCAAAAAATTAATTCAAGAGTCAATTCAACCAAGGTAATAATCCAAGGAGTCAAATGACAGGTATACCCATTCTCGTAGGATTTGTCAAATTTACTCGTATCTTCTGATAAAATCAAAAGTCAAATTTAATTGTGGCTAGTCTCATTTTGATATTAAGAGTTTGTTTAAATTTTGTTTGTAAATATCTCATCGTTTGTAAAAAAAAAAATAATCAACAAAAATTCGACAAGAGAAAAAAAAAAGTAAAAATCTTCAAATTAGTCACGCAATGCAAGTTAAAATTAACGAATTGCATCTCCGATTGGGTTTATACCGTTGAACCCTCACCAATTTTGGGTCAGGCCAGCGAAATAAATCCCCACCAACGGAAAAACTGGATCAAATCACGCTCTGCCTTTTGAAAGTGGTGTAATGGACAAAATCTGCACATGCCCACGATCCGTATACCATTCCCATAAGACGCTTCATGAAACAACACTATGACAAGTAAGTCAATCACATATTGTTACATGTTTTATAACTTTCCTCTACACGGCCCTGTTGCAGATTGGCCACGACCGAAAACGCAAGTCCAAAGAATACACAATTAAGGAAAGACAACGAAGCACTAGCTCTGGCCAGAACCACAGAAGAAAAGAAAACGAAACACACTACAATTTTAAAAAATTTGAGGCCAACTGTAATTACTTTGAAGCTCCCTGTATCACAAAATGTACATACTGATGGAGTTTAAAACGTATCCTGGGAGCGTCCGTAACAAAGGTAAAACTTCGATGGAAGGGGATAGAGGTCAGGAAATGATACACATATGAAACACCAAAAGAACCGTAAGAAAAGAAAAAAAAGAATCAAAATAAAACGAATGCCCTGATCTTGGATAAATGTACAAAAATTATCCTACCTGATCCTGTTTGCAATTGCAGATCAAACTCTTAACTAACCTACAAACACGGCCAAACCAGGGTGTGAAAGGAATGTGATTTGTCAGTGCACAGCTTGTTAAATACAGCAGCTGCAGATATGAAACAATGCTCCGTCAAACAACCGGGAAACTCTTGTGATGGAAGGATTTATGTCTCGCTATCTTGTCTTCTGACATCGTATACAAATTATGCAACTTCCTCACCGTACGATCCCGGGTAAAGAATCAGGCAATTGTGACCTCCAACAAATTCCTTGTATCTCCCAAAAGTTAGTGTATGCCCTCTCGCGTCCGGACAGGGGAAAAAAAAAAATGAAAGAATGGCAACACAAATGTAGGGGGGGTCAGCAGTAAGGTGTGCTCACATAATCAAAGGCATCTTCAAGCAAAATCATGTAGCTGATGCTGCTCTTGAATCTTCTGTCTTGTTTGAGCGGCACATACAATCCGGGCATGGGAAGGTATATATAGAGTCATTAGGCCTCTTGATCTCATAGCCCTTTGAATCACTATGGGACCTCATGCCCAGCAAGTGACGCTTGAAAGTCTTCCATCTGAGGAATAAACAATAAAGCCAAGAAATGTTTACTATGGTGTCCAAGACATTTTTGTTCATATAACTCAAATGCATGACAGTTAATAATGTATTTTCATCTATACTTAACCCACTGCGTCGACTAGAACCTCCTGCCTACTGCCGCAACATCCATATAAGGCTTTGACACAAATATCAGCAAATGTAACCAAACTTCTAGCCATTCAATACATACAAAGACGCATTTTTAATGAAACTAAACTAAGATTCACCCTCAATGAAACTAAACTAGCAGCAGTAGGTCATGTATACATACCCAATTTGTGGATTATCAAAGAGTAATGCTAGCTTCCGCTTGTCAGGCCTGATAGTCTTTGAGTGTCCACCATACATGTATCTTCTGTGTCCGATCAAAAAATGGGGAAAGTTCCCTCCTTGAGTTGTCACAAATACTTCACTATGTAGACAAACAGTGTAATCTATCGCAGCCATCCTGGAAGAATAATTCTAGTAGCAGTAACTCAAAGTCAGAACAATCGTATTATACCATACCACAGAGACAGTAGAACCAAACAGAATTAAACGATTTGGACCTTGAATGGAGCAAGCTCCTCTTCTGACGCTAGCATCTCTTTTGTCTGCAAATTAGGAAACATTTCCAGTAATGGGGCCATTGACTTCTCAGCATTATATATCTTTCCGGATGCCAAATATATAAATGTGTTCTTATCAAAACCCATTCCCCTCAGCATCAAGCCAACCTGATTAGATGACACAGAAAAAGAAATAATCAACTAGCCAAATCAAGAAATACAAAAGAAACTTGAAAAAGTCACAAAATCTTTCCGAAGTAATAACAAATTCAACAACGAAAAAAGACAGTTGCAATTGTCTTCGAAAACATCAATTTAGGGACCCCAGCTGGCAGATGGCATCATAGCACAGTGGTATAGTCTGCCTTGCAATGCAAGTGCCTCCTATTCTGGGTCCAATACAGGAATGACACAACGGATAAGGGCGGGGCGGCTAACCCCCTGTTATGTTGCTCAACTCGAATGTGAAATTTACATTGCTCAATTGGAATTCATGCTAAACTTTTTTTCCGTTAGTCAAGACTCAAGAAGAAGTTCAGTTTGTAATTAAACACAGCCAGAAAGAACTACCCAAAAGCAAAAGTTATACCTCTAAGGGAGTGAGGGGACATTTGCCATTGACCCTGATTGCTCCAGGACGTATAACCCTACCAGGTTTGGTAAATTTCCCTTTCCAACCTCTTTCCCTTGCTGCTTTCATATCTTCATTTTCTTGCCCTCCACCATCAAAAACACAACAAGAGAACGCAACCATGTCCTGCAAATAGGATATCAGCAATTCCACTTGTGAAAGAAAGATAATACCTTCTTCATGAGGTTATGAAAAAGTCAATTACAATGCCACACTTCTAGTTTATCAGGACAAACCTCCTCAAACCGAAGATGAACAGAAATATATTTTCCACCATAATTTGTGCTGCGTTCTTTCATTCTTACAACCAAAACTTCTCCCAAAGTTAATATAGGACTTGAAAACTTTAAAGCTTCATAATTTGCCAAGCATCTTAGCCGTTGGACAGCAGGAGGAGAATCAAATGATAAACGATTTGCAAAAGGAGAAATCCGTATAACCCTGTTTCATCCACCAATATAACCATAAGGATCATTTTATATAAGCATCGCTTGAATCTTGCCACACCCATTCACAAAATTGATGAAGGATGAATGTCAGATCATCAAAAAAGAGATGGAAATAAAAGCATCCCTAGAATATGCAATGGATAAAAAAAATGAAAATTTTCAATTCCTGCGCAAAGTGCATAACAGTCCATATTAGCTCAATGCCCCAGAACAAAAACCTTTTTAAGTATTTAATACCAAAAAATTAAACAGAACATATAGTTACTGGATCTCATTTAAAATAGTGATAAAACAACATATAAAAAATGAATTTATGATTGATGGCCACTAATAAAGTTGAAATCAAGTACACAAGTTTATTGCGCCTCAACCCAAGAAACCTCATCTACCATGCAGAAATTTGTTAAATAAAAAACACATAGCAGAAAAAGTGTCCAACCCAAAAACATCATATTCACGTGGGGTGATAAGTCAAGGTTGAAATTTACCACCTCTACCTGCACATAAATATAGGACTCGCACCTAAGGCCTTAGCATGTCTCATTTGATGCAAAGTTTTCATTTTTAGCACAACATTTAGCAGGACAACATAATGAGAAAGTATCTTTAAATAAATAAAGGCAATATGAAGATTAAGAATTTCTGACTGACTTTTCTTCAAGTAGCCTTGGGAGAACAACATCCTCATAGTACAGAATGGGAGACCATGCTTTAATTCTGAAGTTGTAAACATTGGTCATATTGTGGTCAAATCGTTCCATTAAATATTCAGGAATCTTGTCAACCACACGTACATCATTTTCCAACATACTGATGAAGTAATCTTCAGTCGTAAATTTCACTGAAATTACTGGACAAAAGTAATAAAAAAAAAGAGAAGACAATCAGATTCCAGTCTATATGAGAATGAAACTGTCGATACTAGATTCATATTTTTGTTCAACAGAAAACTCCTGATAAATCTATGGGGTAATAAGCAAGGTCAGGCCAACCCGATAAATAAAAAAATGCTGTATTTCACCTTTTATCATTTTATTCCTTTTATCTCATAATGTAACTTTACACTTTTAACCCTCCTTCAGTTCTGTTTTTAAGCTGAAGTGTTAAGCTGAGCCAAGTTGTATGGAAAACATGCCAAACTTCACACACTGTTTCTTCTCAGATTCACACTCGGTTTCTTATATACCTCAGAATTTTGGCATGTCGTCCATACAAAAGCATGGATATTTGTTGTAAGGCACCCTGATCGTACAAGCGCAACAACAAAGAGAAAGTTATGACAAACCTTGGATCTCTCCAGATGCTATGAAAATGAAATTTGGGAATTACAAGTGTCGCATTAAGATAGCCTGCAACAGCAACTGCATTGCATATCTAGAAAGCATCAACAACAACCATCCATCAAGGAGTCAAGAAAGTTGTTACAAGAATGATCTTCCTTATGCAAAAGGCAAAGCACAAACTTAAACATGAAAAGAAACGCTCAACAAGACAGGAGTCAAACTTACTGAAGTCCTCTGCTGATTTAGACCACCATTTGCCTCAACATATATATAACCATTTGAGTCGGCTAAACCTACAAGTATAAACAGTAAAACCACATTAAAAATGTACAGAAATACATAAATGTGCCAAACTAAATAGAAAAGAAAACAAAGGCATTGCTACAGTAGGGGAAAATGTCAAAAAGGAGGGCTGTGAACGCATAGAAATTCAAAAAGTGTACCAGCAGCAATCAGTGTATAAAATTGCAAGAACTAGTTGAGATAACTCATACCTCCAGAGGATTTGTTTACACACGGTCTCCACTCGCCACTTTTATAGGAATGTTTCCAAACAGTTGAAATCTACACAGAACCTGATGGGGTCAGTAAGTAGCACTGCATATGAGGAACCTAGAATTCTAAGTCATAAGCACATCGAGAGAATCCAATATCTCTAAGAATAGCCTACCAAACCTAGTAGGTTAACAAAGGGAACATTCAAAAAGATCAACAAGAAATCTTCTTCAAAGCCCACTTCTACACTGCTTCCCATGTAATAGGGGCATTATCTCTAAGTTTTTTCTATTCCCGGCATTTTCTCTTGATGGTGATTTGCTTATTGTTGTACAACCCAAGGTTAAGATGACTAAATAACACAAAATGCCATCATAATAAGTTCAAATTCAACTCCCCGGCATTTTCTCTTGATGGTGATCTACTTATTTGTTGTATAACCCAAGGTTAAGATGACTAAATAGCACGAAATGCAATCGTAATAAGTTCGATTTCAGCACAATGAAACAAAATGAGAATGTCCAACTTATAACAATACAAATAGTTCGCCAGCGGGTTACAGTTACTAGCTTGATTATCTATGGCAAGTTGGCAACTTAGAGATTGACTGTTCAAATCCATAGTCCATTTACACAAGATTTCAAATCCCTAGAATAAATAATAAGCAGTGTTGCCGATTAAGTACTAATCACTAAGCAATTTGGAACGCCCAGCAATCCTATCCAATGTGATCAATGATTTGAATTTCCTCATTAAATTATGTTGAACAATAAACAAAGCAAACAAAAAAAGAAGATTCGTTGAAATTCGAATTCATGTATTTTGAATAAGATCTCAAACTGTAAATCAGGAAGGAAGGAAGCAAGGAAGGAGGAGATGAGACGCACCGCATCGGCGGAGGAGTTATCAGCATCCATTTCGGGGCGGAGCTTGGCGTAGAGTTGGGGGCTGCGGTAGACGGAGCCGGGGGCGAGACGATGCGAGATAACGGGAACGACCTCGAAAGAGACGGAGCCCATGTAGAGGAGCATGCCGGCGATGTAGAGGAGAGGGGCGAATAGGAAGAAGCCCTGGCGGCGGATAAGAACGGAAAGGAGGTGCCAGACGATGCGCTGGATTAGGGTCCGACCCGGCTGGTTGAACCGGCCACCTGGTTTGGAGCGGCCGTGTCGGAACCGGGGCGAGCGGAGCGGCGAAGGCGGCGGCGATGGGCTGTTGTGTCCGCTACTCGGTAGCCGGTTGTATGGGTGCATTGGGATTTCTGTACTGCTCTCTCTCTCTCTCTCTCTCTCTCTCTCTCTCTCTCTGCTACGTCATGTGGCCTTCTCTCTCTCTGGCTGTGTGTTTCTTGTGAATTGGGTTTTCTGAGAAAATTTTGAGAAAAAGTGGACACAGAAGAATTTAGAGAGAGAAAGAAGAGAGAGAGAGAAGTGTTTGTATTGTATTGATTCGAACAAAATAATGAGTTTGGAGTGCACGTGCTCGGCGCTTCTCCTCTCAGGGTTTTTCATTTCTTCAATTTTTTTTTTTCTGATTTAAATTTTCTTTTTCTTTTTCCAAATAATTACGTCAAAGTGTTGTCAAATATATATCTATATACATTTTATTATAAATAAATTCAACGAGCATTATATTAATTCGTATCGAACTCGTAGTGAATTCAATTAGATTTTGATTAATTCTTTGTAATTCTAGATGTATTTAATTAGAGTTTTAAAAGTTTTAAAAGTTCAGATGTATTTAATTAAAAATTGACTTTAAAAAATTTAAAAAGGAATGAAACCATATGAATTAGAGAAATTTACCAGTATATTTTTTAGGGGTGTAATATTCATATTTTTTTTAACTTTTCACACGTCCTTTGTTGATCTCTGTCATTTAATGTTCTTTAATACATCGATAATGCTACTTATTTGGGTTAGGAAAATTGGAAGGAGGATTATGCTACTTATTCTATACCTTATCTCTAATCCTATAATTTTAAATTCTTTCATGTTTTATTGGACGGGTAACTTTATATAAGAGGATTTTATTTTTGTATATATAAAAGTTTATTCGATCCTTTGTGAGAGGGAGACTGCTAAATAATAATAATTAATTGCATAATATTGATATCTTGGCCCTCGGTACAAGTAATTGGACTACCATCTCAAATTCTCAATCGTATTTTTCTTATTTAATTGGGTTAAAATATGATATTCCTTGGTTGTTGGATAAGAATGTAGATGGTTGCAGTATACCATCACAGTAACGTTGTGGTTCAATGACATAATATTATGTAGAATAAAATTAACAAATAATATTGTGTTACTAAATCAGAACTGCACTATAGCAGTATACACAATCTACCTAAATTTGTTATTTGGTTGTTGGCATCAATTAAAGGCTGTTTAAAAGTGCTTTTACAATAACGCTTCGGTAAAAATGTTTTTGAAACTATCAAGTTAAAATGCAAGTAAATCTTTAAAAAATACTTAAGTGCTTCATGCAAGAAACACATTGTACGAAATATTTCAAGTGCTTTTTGATCCAAAATATTTTCTCTAAAAATATTTTTATTCATTTTAAAAGTAATTTCAAACAATCTCTAAGTTACAAGAGCCTTGAAATTTGGAATATTTTTTTATTTTAATGGGATATTAGCATTATCAGTGACCACTAACCACGTCGAGCATGTTTCCTTTTGTTTTTAAACAAATTGGCTGTATTTGTATCACTGCATCCATCATGATTCTTTCGTGTTTGGCAACCATGTGGACATTTTAATTACAATTATTCTTTTTTTTGTTTTTCTATCCGTGATGGTTTTTTATTTAATTTAATTCAATCGATCAGAGTGACTACGTGGCTGCATTACTGTCCCAGTTCGTTATTTTATTTTAGTATTTTTTTTAAATTGTGATATTTTAGCTCGACAAGAACTTGGGTCATTTTCATTGGTAATTTTAAATTTCAAATTTGATTGATACTTGATAACGAGTTCAAATTTGATTAATACTTGATAACGAGTTCAATACCATAATTTCAATTTATAACGATTACATATTGAACTCTTTATACTTGATAACGAGTTCAATACCACAATTGATATAAGAGAGATTATATTCACACACCCCAAATTATTTCTTCCACATCCTTTTAATTTTTTAATATTTTCTACACACCACTAGTGACACACCCCGACCGAGATCAGGGCGTGCTGGCCGTCACCCGAAGGTGACGTAACCATGTGCGCGTGCGGAAGCTAATAAGAAGGTAATATAAAAGTACGAATAATTAAAAACCTAAAAGCATACAAAGTACTAGTGTATGTGAGACACAATTCAGAGCAAGTCTACGACAGTCCAAAAGGAAAAGATACGACATATGTACACCCGAAGGTGACCCTACAATGGTGAGTGTCTGTCAGAAATGCCGGGACGCCCTCTGGGATAAACCACCGAACTTGCTAGACCACTAGAACCTGGAGGGGCGAAAAACAAAAGCGTGAGTGGGCAAAAACAAAGCTCTTTGAAAACTCTTTAGTAAAATACATTCTAACCCCTCGCCGTAAAACCTGTATACTTCCCAGAAAATGAACATATATACGTATGTATAGATATGTCAATCATGCTCCATGACATGCCATTCATGCTCCATACTATGCCATTCTGAAACTCATAATCAAATATAAATGCTCAAACGTAAATCACATCAATATCATATAATCTAGCAGCCGGGAGTCACCTAACGTGACCTGTACGGCTGTAGATAGAGCTCCACGCTCAACTCAATCACTGAATCTGCACACGAGTCGGAACCACCTAACGTGGTCTGTACGACAAGACTGGGTGTAATATATATACGCTCTAGTGCTACGATCACGTGAAGACTATGCGAAGAATCGCGGTCACCTACGAGTCGGAACCACCTAATGTGGTCTGTACGACAAGGCTTGCACCTAACTTGGATCCAAGACGAGCGTGTGGTGCGGGTGAACATCACGTGAAGGACTATGCCCTGGCCCTGGGCGGGAGCACTAACACCGGGGTGCAGATTATGAGCTCTCTAAGCATTTCAAACTACTATTGCATAATAAACAGGAATGCATAATAACGTGAACACCGCTTACCTGGCACTCACCTGTGCGTCCACAGCACCAAATACACAAATATGAATGTATGTCACTACCAATGCATGTAATAATGCATAAGTGATAATAATATAGTGCATGGCATAAATCAAATAACATTTTCTATTTAATTTCTGGGAATTAATATGTATATAGGTATGTACGGAAAACAAAAGCCCACTCACTGGTAATTAGAAGGGTCGTAGCCCCCCTGCCTTGAGTATGAACGTTCGTCCTCGGGAAACGAATCACCTATACGCAACAAAGTTACGAAAACATTAATTTAAAAGCACCTAAGCAACTTCTCGTAATAACTTCTCATACATTGCTCAAATTGGACAATTGAATATACCAATGTGATCTACACAACCTCAGGATCACACCCATATTTTTAAAATAATTTTTGGACCACGCACGCGCCCCCACGCGCCTGAACAGTCACTGACCCACGCGCCCCCACGCGCAGTCACGTGCACTGCACACTGACGGCGTCAACTGACGCCGTCAGGAATATTCCGTTAACCTGACGGAATATTCCCTAACTGACGCCGTCACTGCCGTTAGGAATATTCCGTTAAACTTAACGGAATATTCCCCTTCCTTCTCCGGCCAGTCGCCGTCGCCGGCGCCGTCGCCGGAAAACTGGGAAAATTTCAAACCTTGTTTTCTCCTTCGTTTCTCAACCATTTTTCACGATTCAAAAGCCAAAATGAAGCTTAGGACTAGTAGAATCACGATAGACTAGTTTCAAGGCCTAAAAATTGCTAGATCATACCTGTTTTCAAGGTCAAAACTCGGCCAACTTTCGAACCTAGCCTTCCCGACGTCCAAACTCGTCCAACGAACTACTCCCAAGCTCCTGGGAACCTCACAAACACCACTACAAGCTTAGAATCTCCTAAAACAAGCTAGATTAATCTTGCATGAACAGTGTTCAAATCGGACCTCGTCGAAACGACGTGAAAACAACGATATCCTTACCTGAAAATGGCACCACTGGACTCCTCTCAGCCTCACGAGCACGATGGTGGTCTTGATTTCTCGATTGGTGGAGATTTGAGTTGGTTTGTGTGTTTGCAGAAGGGAGAAGAAGAAATGGACTCGGGGGAGAGAGAGAGAGAGAGAGACAGAGTGAGACAAAGAGTGAGGGAATGAGGGAGGGAATCCCGGGAAAGTGAGGGTGAGGTGTGAGTGTGTGTGTGGTCCTACAACACCACACTACACAACACTTAACGTACACAAACAAATTAGGGTAAAATTGTCATTTTAAATGTACGTCTCGTTAGTTTCGGGACGGGATGTTACAACCTACCCTCCTTAATAGAATTTCGTCCCGAAATTCAAAACAACTAATTACACCCCTAACGGTCAAAGAATAATCTAGGATATAAATCCCTCATCCTATTTTCCGTCTCCCATGTTGCTTCTTCAACCGAGTGATTCCTCCACAAAACTTTCACCAAATTCACCGTTTTGTTCCTCAGAACCTTCTCTTTCCAATCCAAGATCGTTAACGGTTCCTCGTCATACGTCAAATCTGGATTTATCTCTAACGGTTGAGGAGGTATCACATGCAATGGATCGGCAACATAGTGTCGAAGCATAGACACATGAAAAACGTTATGCACTTTAGCCAACTCCGGAGGCAACTCCAACCTGTAAGCTACCTCACCAACTCGTTCTGTGACCGTGTACGGTCCAATGTACCTGGGACTCAACTTCCCTTTCTTTCCAAACCGCACAACACCTCTCCACGGTGAAAGCTTCAGAAATACCCAATCTCCGACCTTATACATTCTGTCCGTAGCATGTCGATCTGCTAAACTTTTCTGCCTGTCTTGAGCTGCTTTCAGGTTAGACTTAATTACCTGAACATTTTGAGTAGTCTCCTCGACAATCTCCGGACCCACTAAGACTCTTTCGCCAACCTCTGACCAACACAACGGAGTGCGACAAGATCTACCATACAAGGCTTCAAATGGCGCCATGCTAATACTCGAATGGAAACTGTTGTTGTAAGCAAATTCCATCAAATCTAACCGCTGGTGCCAAGCATCACTGAACTGTAACACCGATGCTCGCAGCATATCTTCCAAAGTCTGAATAGTTCTCTCGGACTGTCCATCCGTCTGTGGATGATACGCCGTACTGTAAAGTAGTCTCGTACCCAAAGCTTCCTGAAAAGCTACCCAAAACTTCGATGTGAATCGTGGATCACGATCCAAGACAATACTTACAGGGACACCATGGTACTTTACAACCCTTGAGATAAACAATTCTGCTAACCGGCTCAAAGAATATTTCTCTCTCACTGGAATGAAATGTGCCGACTTAGTGAGCCGATCAACGAT